GGATTCAGCAGAGAAAATAATCTGAACCAAACCTCTGCTGTCCATCGCTGTAGTTTTAGCAGATTTTTCGTCTGATCTTGATGGTTTTCAGACAGAAACGATTTTGACGCCGCCTTTCTTTGAATGTCGTCTTTGAATAACTGAGCACCCAGATGCACTTGCACCCAGATTTTGTGAAAAGCAAGTTTCAATTTGAAGCCAATTTTAATCAAGCTTTGCGCTGGTGTTGGCATCATTTTGTTAGACTTACCAAAAAGACACATTTTGGCTTTTGTTAGGCATTAAAGTTCTATACTTGTATTATATGCCTATAAAAAAAGACTGGAAACCAACCAACTGATCACTAAGTATTCGTCCGACGCTGTGACAAAGTTAAGTCAATTAACAGTGATGGATGTTAGTTATATAAAATCCTTTAAGCTGCTGATTTCAGGTTTTTTATGTTGGACCCAAAAAACAAAGATCAGTAAAAGTAATTTTGAATTTTTTGTGTAATTTATTTACAAAAAATAAATGAAAATGACTTTTGTTGATTTGTTTTTTTTGGATCCAACATTTTTGTAATTGATTTGGGTCTTCTACGATGGACTGGCGACCTGTCCAGGATGTACCCTGCCCCTCGGGACCACGATTTGGGATAAACATGAAGGGTATCTTCGGGGTCATTAAAAGTCATTAAATTATAATTTTTTTTTTATTGAGGCCTTAATTGGCATTAAAATTATTATTTTCATCAGATATATCATATATAAATGGTTCCGCGTGTTTGCGCGGAACTGCTTCTGGTTGATCGTAAAACCGTATGTTCGGAAAAGAAGCTTGAGGCAGAGAAAAAGCTAGAGAATGGGGAAAATGCAAATTTCAACAAAAGTGGCTTGCAAACAGGAATTTGGGACATGGCTGCAGCCTGCCAACGGTAAAGATGGCGAAGGAGTTTGCTGTGTTTTTATGTATATATATATATATATATATATCTCGCCCATAGACAGCTGGAGATAGGCACGAGCACCCCTCCCGATGGATGGATGGATGGATGGATGGATGGATGGATGGATGGATGGATGGATGGATGGATGGATGGATGGATGGATG